TTTTGGTCTTTTTGAGACAGGGTCTCCCTGTAGCCCCAGCTGTCCTGGAACTCACTATGTAGACCAGGCTGGCCTTGAGCTCACGGAGATCCACCTGCCTCTGACTCCCCAGTGCTGGGATTAAAGTCCTGCGCCACCACACCCAGCTTATTATTTTTATTTTATGTGTTTGCGTGTATTGCCTGCATGTAGGTAAGTGCAATGCCTGGAGGACAGAAGAGGCTGTTGGATCCCCTGGAACTGGAGTTACGGGCAGTTGTTAGCTGCCATGTGGGTGCTGAGATGTGAACCCGGGTCTTCTCCAAGAACAGTCAGCCCCATCTCTTCCGCCCCGAAGATCTACTTTCTTTCTTGGTGTTTTTGAGACAGGGTCTCCCTGTAGCCCCAGCTGTCCTGGAACTCACTATGTAGACCAGGCTGGCCTTGAACTCACAGAGATCCACCTGCCTCTGCCTCCCCAGTGCTGGGATTAAAGGCCTGCGCCACCACGCCCAGCTTATTATTTTTATTTTATGTGTATGCGTGTATTGCCTGCATGTAGGTAAGTGCACCCGTGCCGTGCAATGCCTGGAGGACAGAAGAGGCTGTTGGATTCCCTGGAACTGGAGTTACGGGCAGTTGTTAGCTACCATGTGGGTGCTGAGATGTGAACCCAGGTCTTCTGCAAGAACAGTCAGCCCCATCTCTTCCGCCCCGAAGATCTACTTTCTTTCTTTGGTGTTTTTGAGACAGGGTCTCCCTGTAGCCCCAGCTGGCCTGGAACTTGCTACGTAGCACAGGCTGGCCTGGAACTCAAGAGATCCGCCTGCTTCTGCCTCCTAAGTGCTGGGACTACAGGCATGCGCCACCACGCCCAGCGAAGATCTACTTCTTACTGGCAAGTTCTTAAGAGATATATTTTTACTAGCATGGGGAATGCTAAGAGTTTGCCTATATCTCTAGGAGCTTACAAAAAACAGTGATGGGGTTGGAGAGATGGCTCAACGGTTAAGAGCACTGACTGTTCTTGCAAAGGGCCCAGGTTCGATTCCCAGCACCCACATGGCAGCTATGAACTGTCCTTAACTCCAGTTCCAGGGGAATCGGAGGCCCTCTTCTGGCCTCCGTGGCATTGCACAACACAGGTGCACTCACATAAATGCAGGCAGTACACTCATACACATTAAATAAAAAAATTTTTAAAAACCAGTGATTATATATTCTTTATATTGTATAAGGAAAGAGTAAGATTTGTAAAGATAGTGAATACTGAATTAATTTATTATTTATCAGGAAGACAGAGTCTCACAATACAGCCCAGGCTGACCTAGAATTCATGGCAATCTTCCTGCCTCAGCTTCCCAAGTGCTGGGATTACAGGTTCGTGAGCCACCATGCCCAACGTAATATTGAATTTATAGATTTGCAAATAAAATCCTTTCCCACCCAAAAATCTGCTTCATTATTCTTTCCTCACTCCCCCTCCCCCCGCCCCCTGGGTTTAGGTACACACTGTGCCTATAAGCACAGACCAGAGAAGTGCACTGGGTGCCTTCCTCTAGCACTCTCTGCCTTATTCTCTTGAAGGGTCTCTCACTAAACCTGACAGGTCACTGTTTTTTTGTCTAGGCTGGAGCCAGTGAGCCCCAGGGATCTTCCTGTCCCTCAGCCCCAAATGCTGGGTTTACAGGCACATACAATCATGCTTGATTTTTTTGCATGGGTGCTAGGATATGAACTCAAGTCATCATGCTTGTGCAGCAAGCCCTCTTACCCACTAACCCATTCCCACAGCCCTTACCTTTTTTTGAGACAAACAAGGTCTCTCCATATATCCCAGACTGGCCTCAAACCTGCTAACTTTCCTCCTGCTTCCTCCTGTTCCTGCACCACAGTGTGGGCTTGCTTTTCTCTCTTCCATCTGTTAAAAAACTATTCTTATTGGTTAGCATTTGAGGGCTATTGTGTATGAAATATTATAAAAAGATACAACACGGTGGCACACATCTATAATCCAAGCACTAGAGCAGCTAAAGGCACAAAGATCTTAAGTTCTGGAATTACAGGTATGGCCACCACATCTGTGTACGTTTCAAGTCACATTTCTATTATGAGGTGGCATGTAAAGAATAGCTCAATACACCTTTAAATCCAGCACTTGGAAGGTAGAGGCAGGTGAAGCTCTGAGTTTGAGGTCAATTTGGTCTACACGGTATGTCCCTGCCTCAAAAAAACCCCAAAAATAAATAATAAAAGCCAGTAACAAAACTTGCAAACACAAACTCAACTTATGGAAAGTGATTCTACAAAGGAAATGCCAGTAGTGTGTTAGAAGTGAAAGTACTACCTTTACTGAAAGCACCAGTGCTTCTAGTTACTCCATTCTAAATATGTACAACTAAAGGATTCTTTAGTGTTCTATAGATTTGTTAAACTGATTCTGCAAGTATTCCAGCTTGCAGCATACTGACACAGGAATTTATTAACTTCTTCTCGTAGTTGCTGAATGAAGTCACCTATCAGTCATACCTTAAATATTATTACATATCTTAAGAACAAAAATTTAAAGCCAGGTATGGTGGCACACAACTTTAAATTCCAGCAGAGGTAGGCGGATCTCTGTGAGTTCCAGGGCAGTTGGGGCTACAGGTAGTCCCTGTCTCCAAAGGGCAAAAGAAAGAAAGGGGGAGGGGGAGAAGGGAAAACAGTTTTGTTTTCAAATCAAAAGATAAAAACCTTATTTCTGGGGCTGGAAAGATGGTTCAGTGGTTAAGAACACTGGTTGTTCTTGCAGAAGACCCAGGTTTGAATCCCAGCACCCACATGTCAGCTAACAATAAAAAAAAATAAAATAAAAAAAATAAACCAAAAAACCACTCAAAAAAATCCAAATCAAAACAGACACAAACAAAAATCATATCTTTGTGACTGAGAAGTACCTACTTAAAAAAAAATCATCTCTGACCAACCATTTATTCTTCTATACAGATAATAAAGCTACCTTTAAATGGATTTGTGAATAGAAGGCAAGAGAATTTGAAAGCTTAGTACGGAGATGTAGTTGAATTTGACGCTGTGGCCTTGAGTGAGTCAACTTTGGGGGCTGAGTTCCCTAATTTGTAAAGTAAGAGCATTAAGTTATTCCTAGGGTTGTTTATTCTATGAACTACTTATTTAGTTTCATTATTTTAGTTATTCATTAAAAAATAAATCAGCAGGTGGATCTCTGTTAGTTTGAGGCCAACCTGGTCTACATACAGAGTTTCAGGACAGCCAGGGTTACACAGTGAGACCCTATTTCAAAAATAGGGTCTCACTGTTTATTAACAAGCAAACAAACCAAACCCAGGTCTGGTGATGCAGACCTAAAACTCCCAACTATTCCTGAGGCTGAGGCAAGGAGATCACAAATTCAAAGCCTGCATAAACTACAGAGTTCAACACTAAAATTAAAATAAAATAAAATAAAATAAAAACAAACACGCATACCTCATTCCATTATATTTAACTATTTTACATAGCAATGTATTTGTGGTTATAATTATGTTACAGTTTATTAAAAGGCCAAAAGCTTTGGGGGGAAAAAGAAGAA